GCGTTAATAGATTTTCGTGACTTACAATTAACTTTGCCGAGCGATATGTGTGCGCGAGTCGCGCGCGGGCCGCGCGCGCGCGCGTTCTATATATTTTAAATTTTCAAAAAAAAAAAAAAAGAACGCTGTACAAGTGCGCAGATTTTTTTCACTTTGCAACGAGAACGAAACGCATAGAGCGAATTACATAGCGAATTTGGAACGAAGTTGCAGCCAAGAATTTATGTCGCATGTATGGAAAAGTGGCGCCCATTAAAAATAGACTTTCAATTTTCAGCCACGCGAGGACATCATGACGCACCCCAGCGTTATATATACATTATTTCCGACCGTGCAGCATTATTATGATAACGTAAAATTATTTTTCTAATTTTACATCATCATATTGTAAATAAGTGAGGTTATTTAAGTTTAATATCGTACGTATTACTGTTGTACATACAGATGCACGCGCGTGCAGAGAGTTGTTTTTGTGTTAATTAACCACTACCCCTCATATTCCAGAAAAAAAAATATATATATATATAATATATATCTCGTTATATCGCATCGTGTTATTTTACGCTATATCGTTTTAATAATTTAATAAAGAAACATTAACGTTGATGATAAAAAATACATATACGCGTATTGACAAAAGTTGCAACGATGTCGTCAACAACAGAGTGACGCAGAGTTTCGCGTAGCTATGTATGATGTGTAGCAAACGACAGCGTAGGATTGCTCGTTCCATTGCATCATAAATAATTTATTGAATCGGGGGTTAGTAAGAATCGCGACTCAACGGCGAGGAGGACAAAAGTTTCGAAACGACCCCAAGGCTTTCCTCCCACGTTAAAGTTTCGGCCATGCGGTACGAACTCGTGCCCCGAAGGTAGACAGCGGGTCTCCATACAACCTGGTACAAAATTTTTACGCCTCCGTGCACTGACGAAGTTATAGAAAGGTGTGCTATCGGTTGGAGGGAGAGGGGTCTCTCGTTTTGTGTCTGCCGAGTTTGCGGAAGTCTGATCAATTCATAATTAAAGCGGCGGGAGGTAATAGTAGAGAACTTGGTCGGTATCGCGTCGTTCAAAAGTGCCCAACGAGTAGGCAGTTATGTGTGTTCGCTCGTCTCTCGAAATAAAGAATTCATCAGCAATTTCTACGACGCGCTTTCTTACTGTAAATTATACCGTAAGATCCACATTCTTCCCCCGGAGTAGAAAAATTGCATTAATCTATATTGAATATCGCGCGAATAAATAAATCATGCACTCGCAAATGTTAAATATTAATTGTAGCAAAACTCTGAGAATGTAAATATATATATATATATATATTTTTTTTTTAAATTAAATTAAAAAATACATGTATAGAATCTTGATGAATATGTACCATCACTAAGTAACGTGATTCAAAATCCAAACGAAACAACAAGATCTTCGAAACTCGTACAAGTGGCTCTCCAAAAGTTAATACACCGGTCGAAAATTGTTACATGCGCGGGGAAAGAGTTTTCTCGCAACGAATTTATCAAAAGCGTCGCGACTTTGGTCCGCATCTCGCGCTCTGAAGAATTCGTTAGTGAAATTCTCAAATCCAAATGAGAGAAAAGCTGTCCGTCCGTCCGCAACTTTGCGAGATATCGCGACCGCAAAAGTTCGCCAAGTCCAACAAAACCGCGCCGAATATGGATTTGCAAGCAAGAATTTGAGACAAGTTTTCAAGAATTTCATTGAGAGCTTGTTGAGGAAATTTTTTTTTTTTTTGGTTTTACCAAAAATCATACCCGTGTTAATTTCGTGATCGTCGGACCATTGACGAACGAATCTCGAAAAAGCGACGAAGTAATTATAATGCGAGGAATAGTTTTTCGACGCAATAAAATTCAAAAGATTTCTAAACTCGCAAAAAGCGATAACTATCTGATACGTGTGTACCGTGTGAAACGTGGTAAGAACGCGACGTTATTAATTATACCGGGAAAAGATTACATTATATCTCGTCCGTAACTAGCGTCACATGCTTTTGCCGCTTCGAACAAACTCCGTGTAAAAAGATAACGTTTCATGCATAAGCAAGCATGTCCAAATTAAAGGAAGGGGGATGCGAAAAATGACATTATGAAGACCGACAAAGCAGCCGCGTAACGGCCGTTTATTAAATCCGCGTTTTAGCGACGACACAGAAAGCGAGCGGTTAAATCGGCGCGCGCGGTGGGATGGACGGACGTTGCATTATGTATACGATGGCCTGGTCTTTCTGGAAGGAAATCGCAGCAACGAAGAAAGAAGAGAGAGTGGTAGAAAAGACGAGAGGAGAGACGAGAAGCCGAATGAATACGATATTGTTACTATCCGGAGAAGAGCGACCGCCGGAAGTTTTGCCACGTTCAGCGCCGCTACAAATAGCAGTTTTACCCGACTATGGAATAAATTAGCCAGAGAATTCAAGCTTCTCTACGTGTAGGAGGAAAGAGAAATGGGGGAGATGGGTCGCGTAAGGAGAAACGCTCTTGAAAAAAAAAAAACACCTCACAGAACAAAGTGAGACGTGGACACCAGCTCAGATATCAAGAAACAGAGGTACTTTGCCCCTTAGGCGGTCCTTAATAATAAATTCATATCTCGATCCCCTCCCTTCCCCCCTCTCTCTCTCTCACTCTTTCTCTTGCAAGGTCTCCCCGCCCGATTTTTTACTGCTTAAGTCTCCGCAACAGGAATCTCGTGTCTCCTCGGGAGAGAGAGGAAATGTTCTTCTCGCCCCCGTCTCGTTCAGTCAGTTCACAAATCTCGTTTTTTATGCCGCTTAATAAAACTCGTCTGACATATCTCTAACTACCACTTAATTTCAACCGATCTCCTTTCTCTCCCCCTCCCCCCTTCACGTTTTCCCCCACAGCACAACTCTGGGGATGGGGTTGCTTCGCTGTTACGGCTCTGCCGGGGTTGTTGGCGACTGTACCCGAAGTAGGTTTGTTTGCTTCTCTCCACTGAACCGTCGCACACTCTTTCTCTCTTTCTCTATCTTTCCTCTCTGCCCAGTCTCCGCCTGGACCTTCTCTCCAAGTTATTTCACCGATTCTTCTTTGGAAGAAGCTCGGAGAAATTCCAATTCCTTTCTTGGCTTTTTCTTTGTATTCTCTCATCTTCTCGTTTGCGGACGTAACAATGGAACGATCGCAGTCGAATCCGAATCGACAATTTTAAATGGACGGAAAAAAGACGCGCACACCTTTCTTCGTCGCGTGTGTGTTGTTGTTGTTGTTTATTTTTCAATTTAATATATATGATAAGAACAGAGATCGGTGTTTTATGCAATTGAGAGAGACAAAGAGAGAGAGAGAGAGAGTTTAAAAGACAGCTTTACGAAAAAAATTGATTGTTAATCGTTATATGCCACGCAACAAATCACAATTAATCGCGGACGCAATTTTATTGCGCTGAGCGAGCGTTCGTAATAATTAGCAATTATTCGTCTCAAAGCAGAATTACAACGACGTTCGTGTACAACCACCTCCACACAGCGCATTTGATTATGGAGCATGACTCTTAGCGCGCAGTTAATCCCGCATCCCTTTTGGGGATACCAATAATTCAGCATTAGCGCCACACCAGTAGCCCACCTCGAATTGTCCGGTCGGAATATAGGATCTCGTCGTGGAAATGCTTTTCTCAATAATTTACCGTTATGATACGTCTCGAAATTACCATTATTACGTACTTTTGTTGAAATATACAAAAAAAAAGATTCTCTTTCTCATAAAAATATACCCGTTAAAAAAAAGCACTTTTGAAAAATTTTAATTTTGCCCGCACAACGATATATAAACGTATAATATAAACATCAGATTCGCAATAGTCTCTCTTATACATCACAAATTTCCCCTCCGGGATATATTATAAAACGAATACGCATATGTAATTGTATAAAAGTTATAATATATAATTTGTTTTTTTAGAGAAAATTCTGGGAAATTGTTTTGCTCTGTATATTAATTTTTTATATAATAACTTTTTTTTGCTCACATAGTCGGAATGTTTCAAGCATTCTTCAGTTTGTGAGAAGACAATATCCGCGTCTCTCATTAATGATGTGAAATTTGAAGAGACGGAGTAAAACAAAAAGATATTTTGCACTCACCGGACAATCCTTTTCATTCTCTTCGTTCTTTATCCTCTCGCAAGTTTACCCTTCTCGTTTCACCTATACTCCCTCTTGTTGGTAGTCTTTTATGCTAAACGCTCATTTCATTTGAATGTCCGCTAATGCAAAAAACCGATCCATACTAATGGAGTGCGATCTCTCCGCATTCGTTTTCGCAAAGCGGCGTTTTCGAATTTTTTATTTGCTTCCCAACTTTTTTCTTTCGCAGGGTACGTCGTGCGCATTTTTTTTCAACACGTCTCCCTTTTATCAAAACGAATCACGCCTCGCAAAATTAACAGAATAAATTCAAAGCACGTTGTTTTGAAATTTAATTACGGTAAAACTCGCTCAGTACATTGATATTGAAGTTTCGTCTGAATGACGACACACAAAAACGAGATTAGAACCAAATATATACAGAGACGCGTTAAACTGTAGCGCCGACTACTAGCGTTGCGATTTAATTCGAGGGAAGAGCCACCGCGAATCGCGATCTGTTGGCAAATATTAGGCGGAGGTAATTAACGTGGGTATATTTGTCTAGAAGGGAAGATGGTGACGCGCTGCGCGCGGAGTTAACCGTGTCAAACCCCACGTATACCCGNCGCCCGCCCATCCCATGTCTGAACACGTTTGCCCGAAGAAACCACCGGGTATCCGTCAACTCGCGGGGGGATGTGCCGTAGAAATTACGTAGTTCGTTGAGAACCGACCGTCTTCGTCTCTCGACTTCGTAAACAACCGGGGAATGACAGCACGACATAAACGCGCCAAACAGCTCGGCGACGAACCGTCATTACCTTAGTAAACGGTACTGCGGTGGGATATAGCTCGGGGGCGCGCGCGGAAGCAAAACGAGAGACACTTACTGTACAGCCGAATCGTTCCGTCGGTTTCTCCACGTGGGTTCTTGGCGATGCACTTGTAACTACCGAAGTCCTCGTGCTGAAAAGCAAACCCAAAGCGAGTTATTAAAAATGCAAGAGAGACTTCTTCATATTTTATTATTTGCGCGTGCTTCACGATATTGCGAGTTAATAGAGAACGCAGTGAGAAAAATAAAGTATTTATCTTATCAAAATTGAATTTCGCAATCGCGGCATGTAATTAAATTATTGTTTTCAAGAGTAATTAACGAGTTGTTATTGTGTTTGTGCTAGAAAACCTTTTCAAATTATTGTTTAAACACGCAATGCATTATTTAGATATTTATATCGCTTGTAAACATCGATATAACCTATTTTTATTTTGTATGTGAATACGCACGTGTGTGTGTGTGTGTGTGTGTATTCCGACCGAATATATACTTTATTAGTCCGCTCGTCGTCTGTCGCATCCAACGCGTCAGTTGTGTGTGTGTGTGTGTGTATGTGTGTGTGCGAGCGCAACGATTGTGATTTACGATACGACGTTATTATCCAATCGTGAATTTTAACGTGGTGTGTACGTGATGAAGCTACGCTCTCTTTTTTTTTTTGTTCAACACAGTAATTACATCGCTATTATTACCGCGCGCGATCCTAATTAATTAAACACACATAAAAGATTTTACGTCGCTCGGTTTCCCGCGTATCGTATAACGGAAAGAACAGAGAGCATTATTAATGATACAATATTTAACAATGCCCTTTCTCTCTGTTCGTGCAATTAATAAAAAATATCTTGTGTTGAGAGAAAACAAGCCGGCGTTTCGTGAAGCAATTCATTAACACGTGCGGCGAGGGATTGTTTGTAAACTCAGTCAGTTGGACTCGATACGAATTCAAAATTGTTGACTATATACATATATATATATATATATATATATGTATAAAAACCAAAAAATACGAGCGTTTTGTTTTTTTAATTACTCACCTGTATGTCGAATATTGTGAGCAACATGTGCGTTTTATAGGCGGGTTTGTCGGGCGACGACACCGTCTTGTATTTGCTGCTGTCGTGAATCATTAGGCCGTCCTCCCTCGACCAGTAATTCAAAGAAGTCGGATGAGCCTCGGTGTAGCATTCCAGCGTAACGGAGTAACCCAGGGGTGCGCCTACCAATTGGTGCGGTATCCATAGCATCGGGGGGACTGCAACAGCAGAAGTGATTGATTGGCTCATAAATGTTCCAATTACTAACAATACACGATGGGCCTACGATCAATATCCCTTCCACGCGTCTATAAATCTCGGTGGCGTACGAGCCACCACGCGCAACACTCTGCGAGCACCGCTCTGGTGTGAAGAATAACGCGGGGAGACAATCGCAAGAGCTTTTTTTTTTTTGTTTTTTGTTTTTTTTTTTACGCTTTTGAAAACGCAATTGAATACGTGCGTTGCTCTTTCAAAATAAAAACCTAAATTATCAAAAATAAATAACGATTTGATAACCACTGTAACAACAGTTCTCCGAACCGTTTGCAGCGATGTCATAAGGTTTTCCGCGTGTTTAACCGCATGAGAAATATGCGCGCGCGTATACAAAACATAAAAACATATAAAATTTGATTCTTCTTGCAAAATGTCAGTTTTTATTTCGTCAAAATATATACATTTTCAATGTATATCGCGCAAAAAAAATATATATATGTACTGCGGAAAAATAAACAAAAATGAACGTTTTCATATACATGAGCGTCATCGCGAAAACGAAGCTGCGCGTTTTTACGAAGTCGATTACGCGATATTTGTTAAAGTTCCACACACAACCGTGATGGTACGGGGAAGGGGGGCGGGAAAGAGGAGGAAGGGAGGAGGAAGAAAAAAAAGGATGGGCTTAATTTTTGCTATACGCCGTGAAAACCTAAATGCGCGACCCTTTAATAAAAAAAGTAATCCCATTTCGATGAACAACCCGCCGCCCGGCGCCCGGTTGTTGTCGACGCCGGGCGATAACATTTTCTCGAGGTAAGAGCGCTTCAATTTAACTTAAACCTCCTAAGAATATACCCCATCTTCCCCGTGGAGCGCTGTAATGTTCACGAGGAAAATATCACGCAAAACAAGCCGGATACAAATGATCGGTGGTTGCGAGCGCAAACATAAACGAGTAAAAAACATAAACAGACAGGTAAAGCCGTTGGCATTTTTCTAAGCGTTTTACAATCCCGAAATATAGATATATATATATATATATATATATATATATATATTGTGATGTTTTCGAGGAAAAAAAAAATCGATTGTACGTAACAAAATATTGTAGAAGTAAAAACCGCCGGATGAAAAATTCGAGCTGATTCGACGCTCACAAAATTACGTGTGTTTCGAGAGAGAGAGAGAAAGATCGAGTTTGGAAACGATAAAAATTGAAGTCAATATCGACCGTATTTCGTTTTTATAATACAGTTGGAGAGAGGAAGGATTATATTTTCTTCACAAATTTCATAAAAAAATTGAACGCTCTCTTACGTCTCTGTGTGCTATCGGCTAAAAATAGTTGTAACCTTTTTTTTTTTTTTATTTTACAGAAACGAAGAATTCTTGGTGAGCGACGCGCGGACGCGTAAATTTTGTAACCAGAATGTAGTTAGGAAATTACGCGGTTTAATTATTGGCGAGCCGAAGTCTCCTCTCACTTTTCTCTCTCTCTCTTTATACAGGTACATATATACGTCCATGTATATGCACGTCTACCGATTTACGAGGTGGTTTTTGCGAGGCGCAAATTTTCTCAGGTAACGTGTGAAATAAGTTGCCACTCGCAATCTTTTTTTTCTTTTTTTTTTTTTTTTTATTCCGAAACTATAAACGCAATCTTGTGCAATTTCTGCGCCACACAAGAACCATTCACAAATTTTTCATCGCTCAAATCGACGGCTCGTAACATAATTTCACGAATTATTCAATATATAAAATTGTTGGAAAACCGTCTGAAAAATATATTTCACGAGGACGAAGTAAGAGGAAAAAAACAAGCTGTCAGGTGTTTTTTAAAGAGAGTTTCCTCAGAGAGAGAGAGGAGAGAAAAACAGAGTTTGTGTCGGTTCTTGGATACCGGAACGATCGAGTTTGCTCTCGTTTCATCTGGGATCTCCTTTAAGCAAGAGTCTCGGTAAACGGCGACTCGATTAAATGCGATTGTCCTTCGAGTCCTCTAGAAAATGACCACACAAGAGAGAGCTTCGACCAATCCGTTTTCCGGCGAACTGTTTTTCGACTTCTTCATTCATTCGAGGGACGAGCTTCCGAATTTTCCCGTCCCGTTGTCACTATTTTTTTCGATTTCAGATGGTATGAAAAGAACTCCATTATCACTTCTCTCTCTTTCTATTCCTCTCTCGCCACGTATAATGAAGAAACTTTGCGTTCTCGCTATAATTTCGTCACGAACGAGACGTGTATTTAAAATAAATGTTATTTGAAGGAAATATCGGACATTACTGTTAAATATCTTTTCGCGTGGATTCTCCGCTCCGTTCAGTGTAATGCAACCCCCGCTAGCATTGTCTGGAGGTGTTCTTTTTGGCACGTAATACAGGACCGTGAATTACTACGGATTTCAAGGGAGGGTTCGCTCTTGTGTCTCTTGTATCTCTCTCTCTCTCTCTCTCTCTCTCTCTCTCTCTCTCTCTCTCTTTCTTTACTCTTTCCCTTCTTTCTCCCCGTGCTCTTCTTCCTCGACGACGGTGCGATGCGACGGGGAAGGCCTGTCTTCGGATAACGCAAAGGATATCCGACACCTTCTTAAAATGCAAAACATTCCGTCTGAGAGTGAAAAGGGACAGGACCGACCTAGAGGTTGTCTGTAATGCTTCGGATCCTTATTGCACAGACAAGCTCGGGCTTTGCTATACGAAAGCTTCCGGCATTGGATGCTTTTAGTTTGCTTGCTTGTTTTTCTTTTCTTTTTTTAATCGTCTGTTGCGCGCGATGTCAAATTCGATCGATAGAGGCGAAGTGCTTTTAGAATAAGACACTTCCGGCATCCTCCGCAATTCTGTATCTGAAGTCTCTGCGTAATTATCTAATTGTCAAAAGTTGATATTACGCGCGGATGAATGACGCACATCACGCACTTTTTTTTTTTTATTCGAAATGACTGAATATCTTTTTTTGTGTTTTTTGTTATTTTATTCTTTGAGCAATATAAACAACTGATTTTTTCGTATAAACGTGACGTAAAGACAATAAAAGAATTTTTTGAATCATACAAAGTATTAAAAATCGAAAAAAAATGATCTTGTGTTTTTCTTAAAACACTTGAACTACCACGTTTACTTTCGTGAAATTGTAATTAGCGCGAGTGTTTATACAAGTAAGCGCCTAGTTATATTCGCAGCAAGTTATTGTAATATAATGTACTGTAACAAAGTACACACACTTATGTGCTCACGCAGTAGTTACCACTATGAGAATAAGTAAAGAATTGTGTTATATAGAAATCGCAATCTCTTCGCAAAATTTTGCTCTTATTATTAATTTGCACGGTGTTAGCAATGTATATGCGGCTTCGGGCGGGAGAAATTTTTACAGATAATAGATGTTTTACCAAGTAAAGCTATCCGCGGCGAACGATGAAAGGTTGAACGGTGAACGGTTTAAACATTAGCACGGGCCACTGCGAAATGTAAACGACGTTGAGTTAGATTGCGGAGAACAATGTGTGGAACGGCCCGCAAGGTAGATGAAAGCTAATTCAGGTGGAAGTTAAACAGAGTTAAAGGTACGTCCTTTACCTAGGGTAAGGCAGAGCCAGGCAGGCAGTCTACGTGGTAGGTACGGGTTAGGTTACGGGAGAGAGAGAGAGAGAGAGAGAGAATTTGGCCTTACATTCATCACACAGAGGCCTTGAAGGCTTTCTGGATCGGTATGCCCTTTTAATAAAGAATAGCTGGACGCGGGCTTATTCAGTCAGGCAGTATGCGGCGCATAAAATTTTGCCGCGATGTTTCCAGTTGAACCGCGCTGCTTTCCTGTCAAATTAGTCGCACAAAAGAAAAATAAAATCAGACGAAATACAATAGATCACATATAGAGAAAAACTTTTCTCTAATCTAGAACGAAATAAATAAAAAAATTTAAGGAAAAGTCTTTGGTTTTTCACATTCGTTGTTTATCAATCTTCGGAATGTAGCTGAACTGAAATTGTACGTAAAATTGTAATTCGATTGAATAATATTTTTATTGCACGACGGATAAGCAGAAAAGGTTTGTCGAAAGATTCAGTGGTAAAAGACGTTTGTGGGATCAGACAGCGTTTCAGTGGAAAAAGAAGTTTGTATATCAGACAATATTCACAGGCGAAAGAAAACAAGTTCGATAGCTTATAAATCATTGTTTATGATGAAAGTTCGATAATTTCTGGTCTTACAATTTTCCTTGGGCGCGGATTAAAAGTAATTAAATCGGTAAAAGGATCGACAGCTATAAATTATCAAGATGTTTAATACCTTCTACTTGACGAAAAGTTTCCAAGTTTTCCTTTTCTCTTTTTGCGCGCGCGCGTTTCCCTTTTTTTTTTTTACTGAATTTTTTCAGACTTTTAAATTTCCTTGAGATTGTTGAACACTTTAGGAATACCCTCCAGCTAAAGGAAAATTAAGAATACATTAATATGGAATGTGTTAAACTATGTGTATAAGTGCGTTGCTATCAGATAAATATATATATATATGATTGTGTGTGTGAAATTGTGTTGGATTGCGGGATTATTTGCTCGATCAGATTATCTCGCTAAACGCAATGCGCATAACGTTTAACGGGAAGGCCCACACGATAAGCAAGCAGCTGTTTCGCAAGCCCGATAAGAACATTATCGTTGACCTTGCCCTTCCTTAATGCTTCCGCATCGTCAATCTCGAGGCTCTCCTGACCTCGTTCTATATATAGCGAGCAACAAAACACAGAGTTTCCTTAAAGCGTAACTGCCGCTAATCGTTTCCTAAGATGATCATTCGTCTTAATTCGCAAGTAACTTTCACTGCGATGTGCACTTGCAATAGTACGCTTATATACAACATCAGAACACTTATTAGTAACGTAACCTGTGTGTGTGTGTGTGTGTGTACAATTGGAACACACAATTACACAGTCGTATTTACCAAAATAACCTAAGCATCGTTCCGAAATTTGTATTCGTTATTTAGGC